ATATCTTACTCCACGTTAGGATCTAGCCTAAGGCCCCCACCATATGCTGGCTTCACTCTCTTGGACTTTCCAGCCTCCAGACCCACAAGTCAAAAAACTTTCAAGCTTCATAAATGGTCCAGCCTGTGGCATCCAGTTATAGCCTCGGAAAATCGACCAAGTCTAGCTTTGCTTGAGGAGAGTTGGTCTCCCTACCAAGTTGGTAAGTTTCGCACGGGCCGGGCTGATTCTTTGGCTATGCGGTGTGTCTCTGTGTGCCAATGGGGTGAGCTCTGTGGTTGGAGTCCCCTTAGTCTTCTTTGCTGTTTGGATCGCTTGAGCCCTCCTGAGCCTCAGTTTTCTCATCTGGGAACTGGGCTGAAGCAGCACACGCTGCAGAGCTGCTGTGAGATGCCAGGGGATGGGGGACGCTAGGCTCTGTGTGGGCACTCGGAGTGGCTGGGGGGGGATGGCTCAGCAGCCATCAACCAGCACTAAGGGCAATTGTTCCCCTTCTCAGTGGCTCCCTGTTCTCCAATCAAAATGAAGAGTGTTAAAGGCACCTTGACACCTGTCTGTCTCAGCACCCTTGAGTGGCAGTCATGACCCTTCCCTTTTTATCCTCTCCTCCCCATGTCCTCTTTTAGGAAAACTCCTATTCATCCTGCCAAGCCCAGTTCCCCAGGTGCCCCCCAATAAGCTGTTTACTCAGTGCTTTGCCTGGGATGCTCTCCCTCCCCCGTGTGGAAATTTAGATCCCACTATAACAATATTGGTGGGTGTGGCCTTTGAGAAGTTCTTAGGGGGCTGCGGAAGTGGCTCAGGGAGCAAAGGGCTTGCTGCGAGAGCATCAGGATCCGAGTTCTATCTCAGAACCCACATAAAGCAGCAGGGTGAGTGCGTGCGTGCGTGCGTGCGTGCGTGCGTGCGTGCGTGCGTGTGTGTGTGGTGTATGTGGTGTGTGTGTACGTGGTGCATGTAGGATGTGTATGTGGTGTATGTGTGGTGTGGTGTATGTGGGGTGTGTGTGTGTAATTTCAGTGCTAGAAGGCACACACACACACACACACACACACACACACACACACACACACTCCTTAGAAACAAACGACATTAAAAAGGGGTTGTTTAGAGGGATTCCTGCCTTTCACCAGAGAGGAAGTTTGTTCCTGCAACCATGGGGTGTGATACAGTAAAGTCACCCCCTTGTCACAAGTCTTTTCTGTCTCTTCTGTCGTGTTATGATGTAATATAAGACCCTCAGCAGATATAGCCCCCAATCCTGGACATCCATCGCTGTGAGCCCAGTAAACCTTTGTCCTTTGTAAATGACCCTGCCTCGTGTCTTCTGTGATAGCCACAGGATGGAGGTGCGGTCTTGACTCTTGGATCTCCTAGCACGTGACTAAGGGCGGGCAATGAGTGGCAAATTTGTTGGGCGGAAAAATCTTTGCCACCTGTTCCTGCCACCTGGCTGACAGTCACCTGAGGATGTGTTTCAGACCCTGGAGATGTGCTGTCATGAGCCACTGGGTTTCATTCTTCAGGGGACAGCAGCAGATGGGTGCTGTCATTTTTTTGTTCCCTAGATCAGAAGCAAGCAGGCTACAGCCCAGGAGCCAGCTAATGGTTTTTGTAAATAAAGTTTTATTAGACAGAGCAATGCCCATTCATTTATCCATAGCCGATGTTTCTGGGACAAAGTTGAATGGTTGCCGTGGAAACTGTGTGACTCACAAACATATTTACCATTTGGCCCTGAACAGAAAAAGTGCTCCAACCCCAGTAAGTCAGGACGAAGAGCCTAAGTTCGGATATGCTTAGCGACTTGCTCCAGGGACATCAGTCTATCTAGGGGACCCTGGGCTGCAATCCTGGACGTCCAGGGACACCAGTCCATGTAGGGGAGCCTGGGCTGCAAACCTGGACCTTAAGGGAGGTCCTGACCCTAAACACCACCCTTTGCCTTCTTCTGGGCTCTCCTTCCACGGGGCTCCCCAGTGTTGCCGCCAACCCTGGGCTCCAAGGCAGCGCCTGGCAGCCGGGCTCCAGCGTGGTGACTCTTAGGGGCCCCTGAAGCAGAAAAGAGGCGTGGCTGGAGAAGACACCTCTTTAAAGAACGCAGCCGCAGGCTCGTTCTCTATACACCCACACATAAGCCAGTAGCCCAAGATGAGGGGTCCCTTAGTTAACTGCTCTGCTGGGCCCCATCTCAAGCGGGGTTGTCGCGGGCAGGGCTTGCACAAAACAGGCTTCTCTCTGGGCCCCGGGACCACCCCTTGATGTAGGAGACAAAATTTCCCCCGCCCCACATCCCCACCTCCAGGCAGCCCTGCTGACTCCCTCCCCGGCCCATAAGGACCTCAGCACTCCAGGTTGGGGCCCTCATCGCCCTGCTCCAGCTTTACTGCAAAGGACAGAATCCGCTCATTTCTCGTTTCCTCTTTCTTACGCCTCCTCGCCCCCACCCCCCACCCCGCTACACCCCTGCACCACCACCCCCTCTGCATTCCTCCCTTCTGAATCCTCTCCTTCCCGGGCTGTAGGAAATGTCTTAGATTCTCTCACTGGGGTGTAATGGTTAAATTGCTACCAGCTGATTAAACAGCGGCAGCCCAGGCTGTAATCCTTAGCATCCAGGAACCCGGGGGAAGGCAGGGCCCAGCGCCCGGCTTAGCCCCTCTGACCCCTCCTGGCACCGCCCAGCTTCCCGCCTTTCATTTGTTCCAGCTGTTAACGGAATCCTCTGGGAAGCCAGGGGCCGAGGGAGGAGGTTGGGGGGAGGCCCGAGGGGAGGAGGGAGGAGAGAAAGCGGCTTGGCCTCAGCGGTCCAGGCTCAGCTCCATGAGTGTTGGCCCCCAGCCCTGCCCCTACAAAAACCACACATACACACACACACACACAGCCATCCCTTCCCTGAACCGTACACAGCCAGCCACACACCCTGCGTGTTAACTCATTATTATGCACCCAGACACCTGGGTTCACACCCTAAAACTCCTCCACTCTACTCTGTGGAGTGAGGACCAGAAGGAGGGGGTCCCCCCACTGCCTGCCCTCTTAGGGACCCCCCTATTTCCTACCCTCCCCACCCAAGCTGGGAGGGATTGAAAAGCCGCTCCACTCTGCCAGATTTGGGGTCAAGAACATCAGGGCGGTCTTTTGGGGGGGTGGTAGGATTTGAAACAGGGCTGTGCTGTGCAGTCCAGGCTGGTCTTGAACTCACCAAGTCTCTTGGCTCAGCCTTCTGAGTGCTGGGATTTTAAGTACGAACCACCATGCCCAGCTAGGGCTTGGAGCCTCTCTGAGCCTGATTCCCGGTCAGAGACAATGGCCTTGCAAGGTGACTGACTGTGGGGATAAGATGAGCTGGGCACAAACCACCCTGAGCAGCCCGGCATGAGGTGTGTGTTCATGCATTTCCAAAGAAGCTGCAGAAGGACGGGGTGAGTGCAACCCCGGAATCATCTTCCAGTGCAGAGCTGTGTGCCCTGGACTTTCTGGTCCCCGACCCTGCACTTTTACACCAGCCAGGGGCCAGTTGCATGCTGCTGCCCAGGTGAGCTGAGCCCGGATAGAGCTTGCTTTCTTGTTGGGTGCCCGATGCCCTCAGTGTGGCCTCTGAACTAATAATAGCTGAGCACCCAGCATCCTTGGGAAAGTTGATTTCCATGGAAAGTTCGGTTTCGAAAAGCAGAGAATGAGACCTTGATTCACGCCTCTGCCTCATGTGCGGTCAGCAACCAGACAGGAGGAGAAATTGACTAGCTAGCTCTACAGAGGAAGCGACTGCCAGGCTCAGCACTCTTCTCTCAGAAGCATCCTTCCCCTTTCCACAGGAGAGTGGATCAAAGGAAGGACCTGGGAACAGCTGGGGGTGGGCAGAGGGCGGGGCTTTTTGCTGGAGACTTCAGACTATGGTCCTATTAGGCAATGGTGTCTGTGCAGGTGTGATTAGGGTAAAAATGAAGACGAGATCACACTCAATTTAGTTCAACATGGGTATCCAGACCAAAGATAGGAATTTTACAGACACTCAGAGACAGGACTCAGAGAGAGAAAGAGACAGCCAAGACCTGAGACCAATTTCAGGAAGCCCCTGAAGCAGGGAAAAGTAAGGAAGCATAACTTCCCAAGGGCTGCAGGGATCATTTGTCAAAGCAGCCATCAGAAACTCATAAACTCTACAGAGCAACGATCCCAGTTTACAGACGGGGAAACCGAAACATGGGAAGGAAAGAGAAAGTCTAAAATCATACAGTGAAGGCAAGGTTCTAACCCAGGTCTGTCTGCCTGGGCCTCGTAACCACCGCCAAGTTCACCAAAGAGTTCATCTTGCAGGGGAAGAGTCAGGGAAGAAGAGAGCTTTGTGGTCGCTATTGACAAAATACCCCAGGACAAAAAAAAAACAAAACAAAACGTCAAGAGAGGGAAGGTTTACGTTGCCTCGTGGTTTTGGAGTTTTCAACCAACAGCCACGTGGCTGCATTGTTTTGTTCTTGTTTTTTGTTTGCTTGTTTGTTTGTTGGTGGGGGTGGGGGGCTTTCTGAGGCAGCATAGCACGACATGAATGTATGGTGGAACGCAGCCACTTAGCTCTTAGCGGCCAGGAAGCCGAGAGACTGAGAAGGACAAATTCACCAGTGACCCACTTCCTCCAATCAGGCCCTACCCCGAAAGGTTTGCCACTTCCCAGAGCCCGTGAAACTATAACCCCATCGCTGGAGGAACCCACCCACGAGTCAGAACTCCGTATCCCCCTCAAGGCCCATCTCGGCACACTGATGATGAAGGTCCCCCTTCACGGGGACCATGCATTTGGGGGGGGACTCTTCATAACCAAACCATAACAACAAGCCAACAAAAGAAACTATGGCAATATGATCCAGGACAGAAATTGCGGTCCTGTTTGGTGCATCCACGGGGGCCACCTAAAATCCGCCCCCGCCTCCCGCCCCCACCCCCTGCATCTCTCCCAGCTCCATCTCAATCCACCCCAAGCCTTCTCCTCATACCTGCCGTGCAGAGCTCAGAGGAGCTTCCGGGGGGAGGTGTTGGACATTGTTGTTGCTGTGGTCACAGCTGATCAGAACTTTTCTCCGTGTGAGAGCTGGCCCCCACCACCTCAGGGTTGGCCAAGAACCGCTCTACCTGTCCTGGGGTTGAGAGCAGAGCATTTACCTCAAGGTAGGGCTGGGGCGGGCGGGGGGGGGGGGGGG